GCTGGACATCGACTCGCAACTAGGGTGTGTGTGTGTTTTCGTTGAGGGTCCCGAGTTGCAAGCCGCACATGGACTCGCAACTAGGGTTGTGTGTGTGTTTGTCGGTGCCCCTAGTTGCAAGACGACCATCGACTCACAACTAGTGAGTGTATGTATTTGTCGGTGCCCCCAGTTGCATAACTGTATTTTTGTTGGCTCGCACAGTTTTACACAAACAACCTAACTCTATTTTTGTAGGATCATACATGCCAGTTTTTGAACTCAACTGTATTTTTTATTTTTTCAAATGAGTTTTCTGTAAGATGTCCAAAGTTGCAATGGATAGCACCTAAATTGTGCGGCTCAGTTATTGTTGGATCCCGCTGTTTGAATCGGTGGGAGAGATAGCTGGGAAGAGACGGGGCGAGTACAAAATTGTGGTTGTTTTTCTCACAATCATTTTTTTCGTATTTGTTTGCATTTTTTAGTTTGTGAACATTTTTCAAATTTGCTAATTCCTGTATAATTCACGAATGTTTTTCATACACAATTGCCGATAATGATTTGTTGTGCTTGCCTTTCAAATTAACATTTTTATTATGTCAAGTTGCCAAGCTTATTTTATATAGCCAGCCGTTGCTTTGCAAAAATATATGTAGTCGCAGAGGTGATTTACTCTTGTAACATTTTTCTGAAATACCTATTATTATTTAATTTAGAGCATGTAACTATTTTTTTATTTAGTCACACTATTTTTTAGAGATATTCACATTGCGTAAGTGTACTTTGAAAAAGGCATTGTAGAAGGTAGCTTCCGCGCATAAGCAAAAATGTTCACTGTAGCGCACTATCCACCACTTATAGCAATCAGTCCCATCTCCTGTAGTACTCGCTTACCAGCCGCGCTTACCAGCCGCCGCACGGAGACACGCCTCTGCCTAGTATACAATATAAATTCTTTTAAAACAGACAAATAAACAAACAAACAAAAGCAAAAAGGAAGGTGAGCTTGTTTGAGGATGGGGTGGCGCTCATGTCATACTTAAAAAATGATGGCATCATACTTAGATGTGAGATATTATCTCACATCTAGATGTAACATAGACGGACCCATCTTTTTTACTGCAAATGATGCATTGGAAGCAGAGATTCATGCTTTAATGCAAGGTATGGCTCTAACTATACAACACTATGAGTTTCCAGTCTTGGTGCAATCAGACTCTTCACAAGAACTTTCAATTCTTTCAAGTACTCCACTGGACAGATCCGCATATGGTCACCTTTCCTTGGAGATTAAAGCTTTAATGGCTGATAGGAAGTTTATTCCACAAAAGATACACAAGGATCAGAATAGAGCTGCAGATTATTTGGCTAGATATAACCGGACTGAGTGTGCCACTTCTATGTGGTTACTTAGAGGGCCCCCATGTACCATGTACTGAGGATTTCTTACCTCACGATTGTGACTCGACAATTTTGC